ATTCCTAGTGGCAACAGAGGGTATGGTGGAAATTCAGGTAGTTCTCGTGGCGGTAGTGGCCGCGATAGAAGTCGCAATCGCCGTGGTCGTGGACGTAGTGACACTCGTATGTGCAGCCACTGTAAAGGTACTAACCATTCTGTTGAGAACTGTTGGACTCTTCATGGGAAACCAGCATGGGCAAATCAAGCAGTATCTTCCTCTGACCTTGCGGGGTCTCATCCCTCTCTTGGTCAGACTTCTGTATTACCATCACCTGCAGCTACTAGTGACACTGTGACACTATCACTATCACGAGCTGAGTTCAGTGCTTTGGTCAACCGGATACATCCCAACTCTACTGATGTAGTTAATTTTGCGCAATCAGGTAATATTGCATGCTTGTCCGATTTACAGACTTCAGCATCCCCTTGGGTCATTGACTCTGGGGCTTCTACGCATCTCACAGGTGATGCCTCTCTATTTTCTAACTTTCAGAAGTCTAGTTCCTCATCTTTTGTTACTTTGGCTGATGGTAGAACATGTTCCATTATTGGCCAGGGAACAATTAAATTAACCCCATCCATTTCTTTATCCTCTGTGCAATTAGTTCCAAATTTTCCTTTTAATTTATTATCTGTAAGTAAATTGACTCAAGCTCTGAAGTGTTTTGTCACATTTTATCCTTCGTCTTGTGTCTTTCAGGACCTCAACACGAAACAGACGATTGGTGGGGGCAGTAACAGAAACGGCCTATACTATTTGGATTGCAAACCTTCCACTGTTGCTTTACATTCCCAGATGTCTGTGTACCAGTGGCATTACCGGTTAGGTCATCCCTCGTTGCGGTATTTGAAGTCTGCTTTGCCTTTCCTTGAGTCGGTACCTATTTTAAATTGTGAGTCTTGTCAGTTGGGTAAGCACCATAGAGTGCCATTCCCTCCTCATATTGTTAATCGTCGGTCTTCTTTATTTGAATTAGTACATACGGACATTTGGGGTCCCGCTCGTCACACTAGTCACTCAGGTTTTTCTTATTTTGTTACTTTTGTTGATGATTATTCAAGGATGACTTGGTTGTTTTTAATGAAAGACCGTTCTGAACTGTTTTCCATATTTCAAATATTTTTAAAAGAAATTGAGGTCCAATTTGGGTGTGTTATACGCACTTTACAATCTGATAATGCTATGGAGTATGTCAAAGGTGCTATTTCTAATTTTTGTGACTCCCGTGGTATTTTGCACCAAACTTCTTGTTCTTATACTCCTCAACAAAATGGCGTAGCTGAACGGAAAAATAGGCATTTAATTGAAATAGCTCGTACATTGATGATACATATGCATCTTCCAAAAGCATTTTGGGGTGATGCTGTTTTAACTGCTTGTTATTTAATTAATCGTATGCCATCTTCCGTTCTTAATTGGAAATGTCCTTACTCCTTTGTTTTTCCTACTCGACCATTATTTGCATTGCCGCCTCGTGTTTTTAGGTGTGTGTGTTTTGCTCACATATTACGTCCTGGCGCTGATAAATTGTCTCCTCGTGCCATTAAATGTGTCTTTATTGGATACTCTCGGACTCAAAAAGGTTATAAATGCTGGGATCCTAGCACTCATAAGGCTTTTGTGTGCATGGACGTTACATTTTTTGAGGATACTTCTTATTTTTCTTCACATAGTTCGTCTTTAGATACCGAGCTGCTGCTTCCGTTACCTGTTGTGTCAAATTCATTACCCTGTGACCCACCACAATCACCTCATGTGCCACCGCCTCTTCAAGTGTATAGCCGTCGATCACGAGTAGCCCCCCCCCCCCCCCCCCCCCCCCCCCCCAAATTGTCTACTTCTATTGAGGCTCCTCCTGCTACTGATGATCTTCCTATTGCATTACGTAAGGGTGTTCGCTCCTGTGTCACTGCACACCCCATATCCAACTTTGTTTCCTATAAAAAGGTATCGCCCTCATTTTCTTGTTTTTTATCCACGTTATCTGCTACTGCTGTTCCAAAAACTGTGCAGGATGCTCTATCTGATACAGCTTGGCGCAAAGCCATGATAGATGAAATGGATGCTCTTTATCATAATGGGACATGGGATCTTGTTTCCTTACCCCTCGGTTCCAAAACGGTTGGTTGTAAGTGGGTCTACACTATCAAATATCTCCATGATGGATCTGTTGAGCGATTGAAGGCTCGTCTTGTTGCAAAGGGATACACACAAACCTATGGTATTGATTATGATGAGACCTTTTCTCCTGTTGCGAAAATTTCTTCTATCCAAATCCTTATTTCTATTGCCGCCAATCGTAATTGGCCATTGTTTCAATTAGATGTGAAAAATGCTTTCTTACATGGTGACTTACATGAAGAGGTTTACATGGAGCAACCACCTGGATTTGTTGCTCAGGGGGAGTCTCGTTATGCTGTATGTCGACTTAAAAAGGCCCTGTACGGATTGAAACAATCTCCAAGGGCTTGGTTTGGAAAATTCTCCGAGGCGGTACTTTCCTTTGGCCTTAACAGATGTAAGACAGATCATTCGGTATTTCACCAACATACTAAGACTGGCTTTATATTTCTTGTGGTATATGTAGATGATATTGTTATAACAGGTGATAATTCTGACGGCATTGCAAAGTTAAAATTGTTCTTGCAGAATTGGTTTCACACAAAGGATCTAGGCAAACTCAAATATTTCTTGGGTATTGAGGTTGCTAGATCCAAGGAAGGTATAAGTCTATCTCAAAGAAAATATGTGTTGGACTTGTTAAAAGAAACAGGTATGTTAGGTACTCGCCCTGCTGATGCTCCTATGGACCCAAATATAAAATTATTACCTGATGAGGGTGATTTATTTGACGATCATGGCAGATATCGACGTCTAGTTGGGAAATTAATTTATCTCACTATCACCCGACCTGACATTTCATATGCAGTTAGTGTTGTAAGTCAGTTCATGAGTGTTCCTAGAGTACCACATTGGAATGCTGTTCTTCGAATTATTCGATATCTCAAACAAGCTCCAGGTTTTGGATTACTATATAAACCTAATGGTCATCTTAATGTGACAGGTTTCACAGATGCTGACTGGGCTGGTTCTCCCTCAGATAGGAAATCTACTACAGGCTATTGTACACTTGTTGGTGGAAACCTTGTTACATGGAAAAGTAAGAAGCAAACAGTTGTAGCACGGTCTAGCGCTGAAGCAGAATACAGGGCGATGGCCCATACCTCTAGTGAGTTAACGTGGATTCAACACTTTCTTGAAGAACTTGGGTTAATAGTCACGACTCCTATTCCACTGCTATGTGATAACCAAGCAGCTATTCACTTCGCATCCAATCCGGTTTTTCATGAAAGAACCAAGCACATTGAAGTTGATTGTCACTTCACCCGAGAGAAAATATTGAGTGGAAATATTTCTACTCCATTCGTGAAGTCTGAAGACCAACTAGCTGATATGTTTACTAAGGCTCTTGGTCATAATCGGTTAAAAATAATTTGTTCCAAGCTGGGATTATATGATATATATTCTCCAGCTTGAGGGGGAGTGTTGAAACACTTATATGTATATATGCATTTAGGTTGGGGTCTTATGGTAATTAGATATAGGGTTTGTGGCTGTTATGTCATTAGGCCTTTATTGTATTGTATTGTATATAAACTCTCCTTATGTTTTAGGGTTTGCATAATGAAAATATGAGAAGTTTCTTCAGTGGCTCTCTCTTATGGTCTTTCTCTCTCTGTGTATTTCTACAAAATACATATCTTCACTTTTACAGATTAAACTTGCAAAAACTTAATTTTGGAAACTCTGTCAAATCAGACTTCTAATAGGATCATGCTTACCATACTATATGAGTCTCCTACAAATTTGGCTTAAGTATGAAGTTATACTCAGTCTAGGACATTCCTCACAGGAGGTTTTAACTCTTTATATATTACTGAGAGAATTTATACTTTTAGAGAGAGAGAACTTTGTGAGTCAATCTAGTGTTCTTCATTTCTTACCATATTACATGTGATTGAGAGAATCAAAGTAAGGAGCTGAATTGAAACTATCAATTAGAGGATGAATAGGTGACTCATAAAGAACAAATGGAACAGAAGTTATTAGTCGTGGAGATCAGAAGTTCATGGAGAAGTAGATTGCATGACTAACGTGTCTGTTGACAAATCAGCGACTAAATGATCGAGGTATCTTGCGTAAGTTTGAGTTAGATATGCGAATTTAGGGTGGAATCTGATGGTTTAGTTGTAAGCCTCTTTCTCATAGTGTATTGTTCATGGTTTAGAGGTCCCGTGGTTTTTCCCTGTTTAGGGGTTTTTGAAACCAAAATCTAGTGGAACTGCTTTATTTATTTTCTGTTTTATGTGTTTATGTGGATGCAGTTGAACTATGAAATTAAACTAATTAACTGAATTATAAAAAAGAAATAACAGTAATTTAAAAAAGTAAGTTAGTTTCAAAGTAATATCCTTTAAACCTATTCAACCCCTCTTTCTAGGTTTACTTCACTGTAAGATAAGTATAATCTATTAGAGCCTTGGGTAACTGTCCGATCCCTCACGTGTCTTCACCATTGGTCCCTCATAGTTAACCAAAATTCCTAAATGCTTGGAGCGTTGAAAAATCTTTCTTTGCATATGCTCACATGTTAAGACTTATCAAAAAAATATATGCTAACATGTTAAGAGTTCCATATCTGGGTGTAAACAATACGTATTTCAGGATTGGGTAGAAAGTTGGTGAGTTGAGAGAGATTTGGGACAGTATCCCATCAAGAACATCTTGCCTTTTGACCTAGTATCTAGTTTGATGAGGGGCTGTTGTCGGGAGGATGTGTTAACTAATTTATTGCGTCATATATTCTATATCAATCTACATGTGTGTGTTTATTTTCCTTGGTATAGTTTTGTACACTTGGCTACTATACTCTACATTTAAAAAGATGAATTTGTGTATGCATCATGATTCTAGTCCAGCCAGATTTTTATTGACATGATTTTGTGATCTTGTAGGCACCTTTTAATTGCTTTTGGCGGACTTGCTGGGTTAGAAGAGAGTATCGAAGAAGACAATCGCTTAAAGGTATTTGAGTTGAGCTATTCTCTCTCTCTCTCTCTCTCTCTCTCTCTCATGTCAATCGAGGATTCATCTGGTTACAGCTTTAGTAAGTTTGGAGTTCAGGACTTATGGACATCTTTAATGTTTGTGAGTTTTACTGTAGCCTCAATTTCTCATTGGCAATGTAATGCCGCCTTAACCGAGAGAGGAGGAATCGCCTTTCACAGCAAGACTGAAAATGAAAATTAAGAAAGTAGCAAGAACAAGGAAGAATTAAGAAGCACCCAGTTGCTGCAAGTTAACGTCCCAAAGCTTGAATTACAGTCAAACCCAAGTTAACCAAGACTTGTAGAGCCTTCCTAACTTGAGCAGACTTAATCCTAGCTATCTAGTCACTACATGTGAATCTTGATCATGTTTGGCCTTTTTGTTAAAGATAAACTTGAATTATAAAGAAGTTACTGAAACTGGAAATTGCAGACACAAGGAACTTCCCTTATCTGGTCCCCTGATACTTCTCTTGCTCCTAGCCTTCTTGGGGTGCTTCCAAATGCTGCATTGAACTTGTATCCTTGTTCAGCTTCATCACTAGGCTTAGTCCGGGAAAATACAAAAAAAAAAAAAAATTGAAAACACTTGTTTTTATATTATAGTATTTATTTATTTTTTTCCTCAGGGGAAAAATGTGCGTGAGGTATTCAATTCATACTTCAACACGTGTCCCAATCAAGGAAGCAGAACAATTCGAACAGAGGTAGTCTTGTTTATCTCACTATCAATTTAGCTTAACATAAAATGAGCTTTTTATAAATCATGCGTGTCACTGATATAATGTGCATTTATGCAAACAGGAAGCTATCTTTATATCACTGCAATATTTTCAAGAACCAATCAAACGTGCATTGCAGAGATCTGAACATCAAAGTAAGCAGCATTAAACCATCCGAACAGCGAATCATTGAGAACCTGAGCGACCATCCTCAAGCTAGTTTCTGACACCAAAGAGAGACAATGCATTTTATATACAAGCGGAGGACTGCCTAGGATAATGAGTTTGGAAGGTTGGTTAACTTTGCTGTTGAGGTGCAGCCTCTGTCATTGAAGCATTTCAGATTTTCAAATCACACATGGTAATTTGTACTAGCTCTAAATGTGCAAGTGTTGTAATAGACATTTTGTTTCAGAAAGACCTGCCAACTGTTTGCTCTGGGTTTTATTTCAATAATTTTTGTTATCAATTGTATGTTGTGCCACCAAAGGTTATTGTAGTATTTCCTCTATGTCCCGAAGTGAAAGTTAGGATTCAAGTTCTCACAGGACAAAGTGTTCTCGCCGGTGGCATGAATGGGTATGCTGGAAGTAGGAAGGCCGGCGGACTGGTAAGTTAAATTTGTTTTCTTACTTTTCAGTCCGGTTCTGATTCCAAAAGCATGGAACCGTTATTTTAAGGTTAGGTTCTGTTTTGGAGTCCTACGGGACCAAACCGAACAAAATCGCTTAGCCTCCGCTGCCTTCCTCTCTCTCTCTGTCACTCAGTTCACACTTCGTCCTGCATTGCTATCCCTTAGCTCAGCCTCTGCCACCACCTCTATTTCTCATACACAGTCACCATCTGGACTCTTTAGTAACTAGATCTGTCAACAACCAACGAAGGCAACGGAGCCACTTTCAGTTTCTCAATATCCGACAATGGCATTATCGCCTTTCTTATTCAAATCTTGAATTTCAAGATTGCCTAGGTCTTCATTCTTTATAAAATACTTCTATGTTTATGATTTTCTCAATTTTAATGCAACTGTTGAAACAATCAAACAGAACTAGTCCTTCACAATTCCGTTTTGTTTTATTCAATTAGTCCTCTCAGTCCAATTTAGTTTCAATTTTGTGGAACCGTTAAAATTGGTTTGGTTCCAGAATACTACCAAAAGGGTGCATTCAGAACCGTGTGCACTCCTAAGGTGTAACTAACTGAAGTGTTGCTGAAATTGTTGTTTCCGAGACCTAAGCTCCCACCACATTCCTTTCGGACAGAACTGTAAGCAGCATCAAAATTTAGCTTCAGAGTACCATCCACTAGAGGACACCAACTATGGGGATGGGCGTCGAGAAGTGAAGGAGATGGAAATCTTGGACGTTCTGAACTTCTGAGAATTCATCGAAGTCTTTAATGGCTCTTTGAACCAACATGAATGGATCGCATTTTTTAGCACTGAACACCCAATTGTTTCGATTTTTTAAAAGGTGTTTCTTCAGAGAAGACATTATGGCAATGATTGTATTTCCCAAACCATCTTTTTCTTCCTCCATTGCTCTCGAGCTCCATCTCTCCTTGCATGTTCGTAGCCATGAACGTGGAGTACTATACTAGTAGGAATTCTTCATTAGAGGATGATATATGCGTGTATATATATAACTGTGTGGCCCTCCAGGCTTAATACGTGATTGACGTACTAATATATATAATCATGACTTGGCGTAAAAATGAAACCGTGACTTGGCTTTTACGCCAAGTTATTTGGATCTCTTTTAATTCTGTAACATCGGTGGGGGTTTCTTCTACTTTCTTGGGTTAATTATGTGGGTTAATTAGGGTTAGGGTTAGGGTTAGGGTTAGGGTTATGTAATAGAGCTAAGTTATGTATGCTTTCTAGTATGCATGTACAAATAATATTTTACCATTACAAAACAGCATCATCCTCGTCTTCTTGATTTTTTACGTCATCAACACTTTCAATTTTAACACTCGGTCTATTTTGCGAAACATTAATATTCCCTACATAACTATTTTCCTAAAAACAGATGCATGATATATTTATATATTTTCTTACGTGAAGACAAATGTATGATTGTACTTGCAAGGTGAACCCTGAAACCGCATGTTGAATCACCAATTGGAAGATGGCATGCAATCAAATTGCCAACTTTATTTAATTTTTTAATTACATGATTATCTGGTGGTTTGAATGTGATGTGCTATTTCTTTTGATGTGCAAGAGCTGTTTGAGAGTTTCTCCTTTTCCCATCTTAGTCATGTTCGTTGGCATGACAATGGAGTAGCTCATGCTCTTATCCAGTTATCTCGAAAACATATTACGACTAATGTTGCTATTGTTCATCTTCCGATTGATATTCTGGATTTGGCTGCCAAAAATTGTTTGTATTGATTTTGGTGGTGTCTTTGTTTGTTGAAAGAAAAAAATAAAAAAATAAATCAAAATTAGTGAACGAAATTGATGTAGCCACTGTACATCTTCAAATTGTATTTATTTTGGCGCGCAGAAAAGAAAAGAAATCGTATTCGATGAATGAAATCTCAAGATTTTGGCATCAATCTGAAAATTATATTTTTTATTGTCCCCAACCAAAGAACAAATTGAAAAGGTAATTATGTAACAAAGCCAGGACTATTTTTGGGAAGGTCTATAACACACCTATAAAAAAGAAAAAATATATATATATAAAAAGTGGTTGTGTGTGGGGAGGCCATCCGGTGGGTACGCAAAGCAGGATGTCCATTCAACTCTCTTGCAACCAATGGGCCTTACGTCTAGGTGTCGGCTGGCCCATGGGCTGTGGGGCCCTTCCATTTAACCCCATTAACCTCAATTTTTGAGGTTTGCATATTGGCCAACCCGTGGTGGGTTGGGTTGCTCTCTAACCCGGAGAGGCTACCCCATCAGGGTTCGGTCCCTTTAACCGAGAGAAACTGGTGCGCACCTATTTGCTGTCATGGAAGCGAGAGAGCGGTGCATTAGCCTACACCGGTGGCCAAACAACAAGAGCCTCATCCAACCACTTTAATGTCTCACTTGTGAGGGCTTGGCAATGTGAGAATACAATAAAATTAATTATTAAGAAGAAGGTTATAATGTATTTTATCAATGTGGGAATATGACTGAAAATAACCAATGAGGATACTTTGTTTTAATAACCAATGAAGCAAGTTATTGAAACTGGATGTATTTATTATATTTATAGTTTCAATCCAGAATCCAGTTGCTATAGACGGCTTGGAAGCCGTCAGAGTACTATAGAGACTGTTTGGAAACAGTTCTAAATAGCATCATGAGTTTCCGTATCTTCCATTGTTAGTAGACCACTAGACGTGGAGTTGGTTTAACCTAAAAATTTTGAACTCTCAGCACTTGGCCAACTTCTACAAGGTGAAGCAATCTGTTGTGGAGCTAGCAGATGTCGTACTTTCAATTTCGCATTTCGAAATTGAATTAAATCATTTTGTTCCTAAAAATGAAACCAAATAACCTCAAAATAGGTTGTTATCATCAAAATTAGGGATGCCAAAACACCGTGCCCCACCTTATCCATTTAGAATGGTTATGGGGGCTTTAAGACGGGAATGGAGGTTAAGATTGAAAACCCGCATAGTTATATGGCGGGGTGGGATGGGAAAGGGTCACCCTCCCCCACCTCGCCCCGTTTATAGTAATGAATTATAATTTTGTTCTTGTACTTTATTTTATATTTAATTAGATTAGATTTATATTAAACAAATTCTAATTTATTCTATTTCAATCACTAAATATCCATTTGTATTATTCTTATTTGCGAACTTCTAATAATAATTTTATAAGTTTCCCGTTCTAACAATAATTTTAGTTTTAATTAAGTTTCAATTGAAAAGTTGAATCTTTGTTTTTATCTACATAAGAGAAAAATATTTTTATCATAGTTAAAAATTTATTTTATTATTTACTTTCATTAGATTCGTATTACAATTATAAAAATACTCTACAAAACCCGCCCCGTTTAATAAACGATTTTGGAACAGGAATGTGAATAGCTATTCTAAACGGATATGTCCCCCCATTGCCATCCCTAATCAAAATCACCAAGTTGATCTTGACCGGAAACTTTAGGGTAAAGACATGGCTGTTGTGAGTGTCCAACGACATCCGCCGATTACACTGCTATACATATATTTACAGTATGTATATGTGTGATTAGATATGGGTCATTTATGGAGGGAGGAACCAAAAATTCTCAATTGAGAGGGCCAAATTAATAGTGTATGATTACAATTTAAAAAATATATAGAATTATTATTGTTGCCCAAACAATGCCTGAAGAGGGAAGTGAATTGAGTCTTTTGACTAGTTATAGTAGTTCTTCGTCTTTTTTCTCAAAACACTTGGTGTGAAATCAACCATAGCAATAATAAGAAAACAATCAAATGTAAAGCGAGAAAGGATAGAGATGCAAATACATGGACTAACGATTTTCCGTAGTTTGGGGCCTCAGTGTCTAAATCCACGACTCGAGCACCTATCTCGAGCGTTTCAAGCATCCACTATCAACCTCACCTTCACGGATGGAGAGCAAACCCTTACGAATCTTCACCAGCCTGTCTCACATTGCTAAGTGAGCACCTCACCTAGACTTCTCACTAACCCTTTCACAACGATCTCAAAGATATACAAGTTTGAGTACAAAATGTATCCTCTTCAAAGGATGAATGTATACAATCAAAGTTCTCTTTCTAGCGTAGCAGATGTAGCAAGTGATGAAGCTTAACTCGAAGTGTATGGCTAGATGTCAAAGATACTCAAATGCGTATCACATAGACTAACGATTTTCCGTAGTTCGGCCCTCGTGTCTAAATCCATGACTCAAGCACGCACCTCTCTGGAGAGTTTCAAGCATCCACTATCAACCTCACCTTCACGGATGGAGAGCAAACCCTTAAAAATCTTCACCAGCTTGTCTCCCATTGCTAAGTGAGCACCTCACCTAGACTTCAAGGGTTCACTAACCCTTTCACAATGATCTCAAAGATACACAAGTTTGAGTACAAAATGTATCCTCTTCAAAGGATGAATGTATACAATCAAAGCTCTCTTTCAAGATGTAGCAAGTGACGAAAGCTCAACACGAAGTGTATGGCTAGATGTGAACGATACTCAAATGTGTATCACAACTCTAGCAAAGGTCATAAGAATTGAATCTGTTTTAGAGATCTAAGGCTTTCTCTAGCTTTCTAAGAATGAGAATGAAAGAGCTAAGTTATACAAAATATTTCAGATGTTTCCCAAATGGTTGGATGACCCCTGTGCCCTATATATAGCCTCGATGAGACATGACCGTTTGATATGATAGGGACGTGTTTGGATATTTCAATTTGAAAGATCCATCCAACTATAGAAGTCTGTCCAATTACCATAGCCGTGTGAAACTCTGGGCACAAGTAAGCATTATCAGCATGTTTTCAAAACTTGAAGACATGGACGTCAATCTTGAAGAGTAGACATGTGTTTAATCATTACGTTGTCCCGCACAACAGAACAAGACTTTCAATATTCCAGATTTTTCAAGGGTAAACTTGACTCTCTAACACTCAGAACTACAATATCCTGGTCTACTCATGAAATAATAAATGCACATTGACATGTTTGCAAACTTGATATTTTGAAGATCAGTTTCACAGGAAATTCGAGATGAAAAATATGATTAGAAAACATAAGAATGGGATCCAAACCACCAGGGGAAAACCCAAAACAAAAACAAATTGGCAAGGTAGATCAAAGATATAACATTTTCCTTACCTTAAAACAACCATAGATGCTATGGAAATGCTAGGATAATACACTAAAAAAGAGACCAAAAATCATCAATCCAAACTACTAAGAACAAATGTCAAAAGTTCTTTAGTAATATTCCTAGACTAGCTATTACATGGTGTCCAAATAAACTGAACTAGGAAGGAGAAAGGACCTTATGAAGCATAACCTAATTGCTGAAGACTCTGTTAGCTTCCATAGGAATTACTGCAGCTGGCCTGCTCATGAATTAAATCCAACAAAGCAGTCAGTCAAATATAATGTGATAGTAGCTTAACAAATTACATATTCCAAATCATTTCTTTATTTGAACCCAAAAGTGGTACCTGAAATTAGAGAACCTCTACTCATCTTGGTTGACATCAAGATTCTTCAATTTTGATTCCAAGTCATTCTCAATCTCTTCATCTTCTTCCCCGGATTCATTGTCTTCATCCTCTCCTCCATCAGGATCATTCTCATCCAATGGCCCAAGCATGTCCAAATTTTTCTTAAATATGTCTTTTAACTCATCAACGCCTTCATTGGAGATGAAATTCCCATTAATGTTTAGTAACTTAAATTCAGGCTTATGCACCAGAGTCTGAGCCAGTAGCCTAGCCCCAGCCCTTCTTATTGAGTTGGTGCTCAAATCAACTTCCTTCAACTGGGCATGACCTTCTTCCAATGCCTTGCTGATCTGAATAGCACCCTTATCCTGTAGTTCATTCTCAGCAAAGTTCAGCTTGGTGAGAAACTGCTTCGATGCTATACAAGCAGCTAAACTGGGAGCAGCTTCAGCTGTTATGTCATTTCCAGCCATCTCCAAGACTTCAAGCGAAGGGGCAGATTCCTTGAGAATATTGGCTAATGCAACTGCCCCCTCATCTTCCAAATTCAGGTAGCTCAGATAAATCTCTTTAAGATTTGCATGTTTGGAAAGAGCATTACTCAGCATGACTCCAGCTTCTACACCAAACATGTTATCCCGTAAATCGATCTTTTTCAAATGGGGACATGTTCCAAGTGCTTCAGACAAGGCAATTCCTCCATCTGAGCCCACCCTAGTAGAGGAGCATCGGAAATCCTCCAACAAGGGAGAACACTTCACAACCTCAGAAATAGCAACAGCCCCTTCATCACCAGTCATATTATTGTGAAACTGCAGAACTCTAAGCTTTTCTGTGGAAGGAATTAACTCAGAAACAGCTTGTGCAGCTTCCTCCGAAATGCCATCATTCATTAAATAGAGTTCCTCCAAGTTACTCTGAGATTTCAGGAGCATCCCAAATGCTCTAACACCCTTCTCACCTAGGGCATTGTCTGAAAGATTTAGAGACTTCAAAACACAACCTTCAAGTGCTGCTGAGAATATATTCATGACTTCCAGAGCTTCCACCTCTGGTCTTCCTGCAACAAAATCTGACAAGTCAACTTCCTTCAACTGATCCTTGAGGGATCCCAAGATGGGCTCTGCAACACGGGCTGCACCTAAGCCAAAACTTCTATTACTGAAACATATCTTACTGTAAGAATTTCCTGGCTCCTTTAATGGCTTTAAAAGTTCCTCAGCCTCCTCTGCCTCAATGAAGGCCCGTTGACCTTTAGAAATGTCAAAAACAGTTTCATGCGGTGCTGCAGTAACTTCCACAGATTTCACAATATCTTTTTCCTTGGTTCTAGGGCCCCTTTTGAGGACTTCTAGGATGAGTTTACTGCATTCCTTCGCATAAAGTTGCACCGCAGAACTCCCATCACCATCGGGCTCCTTTTCATAGTGTTGATTTGCAGTGGCAAAAGCTGCATCTTCAATTTCTTTCGCATCCTCTGCAGCCTCTTCCTTATTCAAACTACCATACTTCTCGGTGAAAATGGATGGACTAGAAAGATTGTTCGTCATTCGCTCCACAAGCATTAATCGTGTATTTTGGCTTGGGGGCCACAGTTTGATTGAAAATGGCCGACGTTGAGAATTAGGTGTAGCCGCATCCATTGCAACCGAACCTTAAAAATAAAGGCTACATTTTAGTTAATAATGTCCTCTTGCAGGTAGTTTCATTATGATATTTCTCACACAGAAGAGCGGGGGAAAAATGACAATAATTATATTATCCCTAACCTAATCATTAACTAGTATTCAAACCAGGCATCAAATAGACATTCAAGGATCTATAGAGAAATGTAAAGAATACAAGGCAATAATATTTGTATAGCCAATTAAAATTAGTCACGATAAGGCTCCTATAAATTTCGGAGAAAAACTTTTCGCGTCCATGTCAAGAGCAGCACATGTTAATCACTATGCATGGTTGGATACATTTGTTATTATAAAAATAATGTGAATGATTCTGAAGTCATAGCATAAAACAATGAAGGTAAGACACTTGTCAAAAAAAAACCAATGAAGGTAAGAGGGATCCTATGTTGTATGGTCTCTTGTAAGAGTATCAAGTGCAGGTGTGCAGGTGTTCATTTCAATTGATAGATTGCACACATCCTTCCCATTAATATACATTGTAGCTTATAAAATAGTGTAATGCAGAAGATTCCTATAGGAAAGCATTTTTTTTCTACACAATTCTTTTCATGAGAAACACTTACTAAGACAGCTTTAACTAAATTTTTCCGAGACTTCCACATTAACTCATGAACAGGTTTACCAGTGTGTGCAGCATGCAATATATGTGATCGAGATTGCAATAACAGAACTGGAAATCAATCCAAATCATTTGAATAATTGGTGGCCACAGATGTATATCTCTTCTTCATAATGTGAAAGCACTGGAAGAAACTTCATGAAAATTTCACAATAAGTGCATAAATTTCAAAGAATCTTATGAGATCTCTACCATTATATGTTTGGTTGTAAATACTGATTGAAAAGAAAGAGGAAGTAGAAAGAAAAAGGAATAACATTATTATATAAAAGAAAATGATATAGAAGGGTATCAAAGTAAGAGAGAATTAGGATAAGTAAGCTCAAAAGTCAGATTTTGCCACAATTCATTATATGTCTTCTTAATGACTTACAGCAATCATTTGGAAGCTAATCAGGTATATTTCTACAACACCCAATCAGGTCCATAGCATCCCAAATTATGTCTCTAAAGTCGAAATGAAGAATGAGGCATAAATGCTGCTGGAAAGGGAATATCAAGAAACTGGCAATGATATCTAAAAGTGCTTATACTTATACAAAAGTAAATAAATATCTGCTTATGGAGCAAACTCAACAAAAGTAAAACCCCAACCACTCAGGATGATCAACTCAAATCATTTTTTAACCATTCAGCTCAGCACGATGTCCCATTTAGACTAAAGCACCATATCTTTCTATGAACTTTTATCAGTACCATATTGATTGTACACCATATATTAAAATCTTTTGCCTTTCAAGTATCACACATTTCATAAATATCAGAAATTGCTGATCATGCTACCAAACATACTTTGAAAATAATTTCAAGAAAAACTGTCAAAGGTCACAGTTCCATCCTAAATATATCCCCCATGCCCCCAAATAGAAAAGAATAAAAAAATGGGGAAGTAAAAGTTATTCCTCTCCATTCCATTCCATCCCATTCCATCCCATTTTCCCATTACCATTTTCTTCCTATGCCAAACCATCTTTCACATGAGATCTATGTCCACATTCCACAAAAGAGAATATTTTGACTAATTTATAGAGCGGCCAAACTCTACGTCTATATGTTACACCATCCATTCCCTTTTTATTAAAAATTAAAAAATGATGGAGATAAAACAGAGAAACATAGAATGGGATAATGGCTACCCATTTGTAGTATTTAGTATTTTGAGCTAGGTAATCCTGTCCTGACCCAAAAGGATAAAAGAAAAAAGGCAAGCCATAGTGTCAATCTCATTTTCCCGAATGTAACCAGAAAAAAATCACACATTCTATGTCTAGATTATAATAAAATCTTCTTAGACCAAGACCATCACCAATTTAAAATGAAACAAAAGAAATATTGAGGATAAATCATCTTAACAAACATGTACAGATACACAAGTACACTTCGAAAAAAAAAAAAAAAAAAACAAGATCTAAGATCAAAAAAGTCATGTGAACAGAGAACAATCAACAATCATGAAAGAGACATTTTGATATAATATGTAAAAGATCTGAGACAAAAATAGAACCATTTCAAATGAATATACAGGACATTAACAGAACCCTAATATATGTATGTGTGTACATATGCAGAACAGAAAAATAAAGACCTTATAATGGAGCAGACACTGAAACCCTAAAACCCTAAAAATGCAATGCGAAGAAAAGTAAAATCTAACCTTCTTTTCTGATTGGCTGTTCTTTTTCGGTGTATAATCAAAGGCAAAGAGAAGAGAAGAGAAGAGAAGAGAAGAGGAGAGGGAAACCAAAAAATAGGAACCCTAAAATGAGATGGTACGGTAGGTTTTATACTTGTGTCCACCCAAATCAAAAAAGAAAATGAGGTTGTACGTGGGTTTTATACTTTTGTCTTCACTCTTCAGTTTTCAGTTTTGAAACAGGCTGTTTGGCAAGTGAGAAAAAGGTGTTCATAGTTGGGATAGTTCTCAGTTGATAACACCGTTGATAGTGTCTTTAATTTCATACAAAGCAAAATTAATGTTTTATTGTGTTGTAATTTATTCCGAACTAGTATACAATTTATTCCGAATTCAGATTTATTTAACTAATGGATTATCGGATTCGAATTGTTAATGAGTTATTGGATTAAATGTTCCAATTCATATATTTAATTCGCTTGAATTCAGAACGGATCAAATTTGAAATCAGATTAAAATCTAGTGCAGTGACGTATCTCGTTATAAGTTTAGATAGAGTATATAATTATTAATATATAAGATAGTGGATAATATAACTATGCAATCAAATGAATATAACAGTATATAATTAATATATATAAATTTAATAATATATAAAAATATATAACATTCATATATGGTATTATATAATAATGTAATAAATATATATATATATATATATATATATATAATTTTAATCAAATCGAAACACCAATAATTCCTATTCAATTTGTTAAGATAACGGATTATATTATAAAATTTTTTATTCAATTCATATTCGGATAATCGGATCGAATTTGATCCATTAATAAGTCTAAGGTTCTTTTTTAAAGATAAAAAGTATTATAAATTAAATTAATAAATTTAAAGAGTCAAAACTTAACACTTCAAAATTTATTAAAACATAATAAACCTACTGAATTATAAGGTCCCTGCATATGGCGTACTTGATACTAATCCATGTTTGGAGATTAGACTGGTTTAAATTCACATGTCAACTTGTCTAACCTATTGGAGTTACAATAAGGGGGTATTATCATTCACTCTCCAATTTAGCAGAGAATTTGTGGGACCCATGTTAAATAATTGATGCTGCCAAAAAGATTTATCATTCATCATCCATTACACATCGTGTGTGATTTTCAGTCATTCAATTGCCAAAAGCTCGCCTAGCAATAGCATGGCAGAAAAAGCATTCTCTAAAATTTATTGCCATGAGTGCATGTGTAAATTACACACACACACACAAACTTATCATTAGCCCTGCTGTATGTTGAAAACGGCATTAGAAAACGCAAATTTTGGAAGGATTTTTAAATAGATTTCGCTAAGAATTTTTTGCGAATCTATTGACGAGCGCGTTCCTCTCTGCGAAGAGAGGAACGTGGTATATTTATTTTCTCAAATTCGTTTCCGGGTGAATGAGAAATTGGCTCCAAAGTAAGTGATTTATAAAGCCTAAATGGGTGAATAAAGTGGGAAATGCTTGTCCCACATCGAAAAAGCAGCAAAGCAACCTTGAGTATATATATATCTAGTATGGGATTTAGGTTTGGGCCCAAGGACACCCAAGTTTTTAAGAGGGGGAGGACCTAGGCTAGCCTGGATCCGAACCAACTACCACACGCACCGCCCGCCCGATCTGGGCTTGGGCGGGGCGGGGCTTAATTGTAAAATGGGTCTAACCTTTTTGACACAAAGTTGGACTGGGCCTGTGTGGTTGAAATTTATTTTATTTATCTGGACTTATTTAAGTGGGCTTGCGGGTGGAGCACGCTGGGCTGGGCTGAATTAATGGCCAAAGTTTGTTTGCTGGGCTGGATCGGATTAATCTGTTTTGGGTTTAAATTCAAATTAAAAACCATAAAACAGTTTTTGTTTGAACCAAGGGTTGCACCTTTTGAACCTAAATCAGTTTTGGGTTTCTAATGTCTCATTGGTCCACAATGGTTGCATCCATTCGGAATATGGGTGCACCCATTTGGAATACGCACCATTAAGCCTATAAATAGCCCTCCTTGGATTCATTTCAAAACACACCAAATTCAGAACAAAATCTTCTCTCTTCTGAATTTACTTCCCCTCTTTTTCTTTTATAATCTGTTTGGGTTCGACCCTAACCAATTGGGTTCAAACATTAGGGATTCTGTTTGGGTTCAACCCTAACTAATTGGGTTCGAACCTTAGTCACTCACTTCGAGTCCGAATCCGAGTCTGAGAGTACTTCACCGAGCCGGTTCGCCTATTCCATTGGTTTGAAATGCTACTACCAAAGGAAGAAAAGTCGTTGTATCCTGGGAGATAGACGCCGAAGAGTCCGTTAGCACCGTAGCGGGGCGTATCTGTCTTAAGGCTATAGAATTAAATTCTAGCCTCGACTTTATCAGGTTCTTTTATAGTTTTATTTTCTTGATATTAAACTATATAAATATATATAGATTATTATAATAAATATTATATTTACAAATAATATTTAAATAAATTATACTATAGTATATGATACATTTTTTTTTCCCAACACTGTACACATTGAACAGGGGTCTTTCAGACTTTCACTCCTTCAATACAATTGTTGCAAGAAGAATTTTATGTAGGGGATTGATTCCCTTCTCTTTAAAACCAACAAGTTACTAGTGGCAGGCCCGCATCCCCACTCACGGCCTCAACATTCTTTTGAATTAGGAGGATCAAAAATAATACGAGAGTCTTTTCATAATAAGCTCTCCTTATATAATCAATAAATTGAAAAATTTATTAAATAACTTAATTAACTTTTTTTACATTTCAAAAAGAATGTCTTAATTCAATAATTAAATTAAAAAAACTCATGATAGCATTACTCGAGGAAATGTATATATTTCCTACTAAAAGCTTTGTAAATTTGCAATATAAAGTATAAGAGAATTTGTTGTACTCTTTTTTTTTTTTGTATTACATATGTGCGCAACCCACTTGTTTCGAGCATGCAACATAATAATATTCCAAAGATGCAATAGAATTATTTGAGGAGCGAAAAAATAGTGTTGCATTTTCAATTAATCACATTGTAACTTCGATTTAATTGTGTTGCATTATCAACATAATTATGTAACATCCTTGAAATATTATATCGAGATTTCAGATAGTATAACCACATGTGCACAATGTTCACTTTAGATAATCAAGCTTTTCCTTGACGTGGATCCTAGTCACAATCTAAACTGCTCGCAAATGCCGGACATAAATAGTTTTTTTTTGGGATGACGTGGGAACCCTCGCAACTACCCACCATTTGAATTTGTAGTTAATAGGTAAACTCTCGGCTACTCACTCCAACCTCACAGTGAAAGTAACATTGTAATGACCCGGTCATTTTTCTTCTTTTCATTCTTCAGAAATTTCTTTTTTTCGTTTTTTTTTTTTTATTTCGTCCTTTAGTCATTTTTTATTTTTTCCTTGCATAACCTCACTTTTTGCACTCGGATTTGATTCCGGCTTTGCATACATCCATGATATCTACATTTTTACTTTTGTAGAAAAGCATGTTAAATGTTTACTTTTCTTGTAAAGGGCATGAATGCATAACTTTTTGGTAATTTTTCATAACTTGAGGGGTTTTGTGTAATTAAATAAAGTAATTATTTTTCGTCTAAGGGACCTTTTTGTAATTTAATTTGGAAGATATTTTCAAAAAGGATCTTTTTGCAATTATTAAAAAAATGTGACAAGTGTCACATTCTCATGGTGCCATTTGTTGGCATTAGGGTGGAGTGACTTGAAAACATAATCTATTGACATTTGGAGGGTGGAGATTCACCCCACTTATTGGCCTAGGATTGGATCACTTGTTGGCATAAATGGTTGACAAGTGTAGGTTTGATATTTAATCTTGGAAGCTTACTTAGATTCATGACAAGTGTAGGCTTCACAATTGGTCTTGCATTAGTGTGTATGTGAGAGGTAGTGCAAGAGCACCTAGTGAGTGGAGAATCCCACCATTTTAACTTAGGGTTTTCACTTTCAATTCAGTTATCTCTTTCCTCTCAAGAACCCTAACTTAGCTACCATTGGAGCAAAGCTTGACTTAGAGCTTTGACTTTATTTTTGATACCCTTCCACTCACCTTAGACCATTAAGCTTGGAATACAAAAGCCTTGCCTCATCTTCCTCTTCATAACCCTAGAAGGAAAACTTGAAATTCCTTTGTTTCCCTTGGATTCAAGAGGAACAATCCTCTTATGAGATAGGGGTGGTTGTATGTTTATCCTCTTTGGGTTTTATATATATTGGAGCTTGATATATATTGATTATATGCTTTTTAAATTCTTGTAATTACATATAAATAGAGATTTTATATACTTGACTTAGGATTTGTGGATTAAAGCATGTATATGACTATTAAATTGTATAAGTAGGTTATTGTTTAATGATTTGCCTAATACTTGTGATTTCATTAAGGGTTTATTATGAATATCTTGAAATTGCACTCTTGTTGTTAAGTAAATGGAGATTTCATTGAGAGACTAGTATGAAAATTTTGTATATAGCACTTATATTTACTTGTAGGTAAATTACTATATTGCATAATTAGTAATTGTGGCCTACATTAATATCAAATTCATATGGCATAATGTGTAGTAACATTATCTTGCCACTTTAGATATGCAACCTTAGGGCATGGTTTGTGTGGTTTTACCCTACTTGTGTTTGGTAGGTAGTTTCATGCATTGAGATTATATAAATGTCATGAACTTGTTGATTTTTGGAAGCTTGTAAGGATATGAAATGTTGATGGCTAGGGCTTGGCTCTAGTACGAAGGGTAAGAATTCTCCTAAGTCATAGTGCGCACTAGGTAGTACCTTGTGGGTCGTAATTACCCAAAATAACTTGTATGATCTTGTGGCCACATATCCTACTCTTTCTATTATTTGATTTCGTATTACTTTCCAAGTTGTAAATCATAGATTTCTTGTAGCTTGTGATTTGGTAATCTTAGTTTTAATGTGGTTAGTGTACTTATCTTGTATACTTGGATGCTACGTGTTTATCGTTTCAAACATTTGTATAACTTGAGATAATCCCTTAGAGTACCATGGAAACATAGACGTTAGGTGGAATGCACCCTTGTGATGGTCTATGTTTGGTTCATATTATACTTGAAACTATAGGGTATG